AATACATCAATAAGAAACTATGTGCAAAATTTTGTGTTTCTGGATCAAATATATTACTCATAAGCAGTAATTGAAAGTTGAGTAAACTCTTAACTTAAGTCTAGTCGTTCGGATGGGACGAAAAACCGAGGCCCTGTGTACACATTGGCGTGCACGTAAAAGATCCCTTGGCAGTTGGAATTCGATATAAGAGTAGGCCTTAGCGCCGCTGGCCGGGCAAAATTTCCCTCATAGCACACTGTATGGCATATGCCCGTCTTCATTAGCCCAGGTTAGGAGCAGAACAGTAGGACGTTAAACCCCATTTCATTTCATTTCATTTTCCACCCATCAGCAGTATTTTCAGTAAAGAGTTTAATACATCACAGTCTTGGATTTTATATATAACGTCTTATAGTTTCTCCTATATATCGTTACAAAATAAATGGTCATGTTTTATTTAATAAGTTAGGTTATTTAGTATTAGATGTTGTACATCTCTATATTCTTTTAAAAAACAGCTTAGGCAGTTTTATTTAAACAAAGTTTTAACTGACTTTATATACAACTGTTAACATGTCAATAATCTTGATATTAATTTTATGATTACATTGTCACTTTGTAAAGTGGCCCTGAACATGTTATATGAAAGAGCGCACTATAAGTATGCTGTAATAATAAAAATAATAAATAAAGTATTAATTCATAGCCCTAAATTGACATGTTAACCCAGTCTACTGCCCATACACCAGTTGATTAATGAGTCAGGATTATCAAGACTATTAAATACAAATTACACAGGGCCGGTGGAAGCAATTCTTGATGGGGGGGGCTTCCATCCTAGGTCCTTATAGGCGTGGGTCCGAGGGCCGCAATAACCTGTGGAAAAGAGTACTTGCGGCCAAATTATTGGCAGGGCTAAAGCCCCCCCCTAGCCCCCCCACTCCACCGGGCCTGTTACAGTATGCTATTCTTGGCCAAGGAGATATAAACTCTACGAAACAAAATTGATAAATTGGTTGTTAATGTCACATACGATGTAGGCTAATACAAGCTTCTGCTAAAAAAGCACATGCTTTCGCCTACCCGCACTTCCTCCCCGAAGACTGCCTCTTTCGACCCTAACCCAAAATTTACATGCTTTCTTACCATGTGTTGAAAATTTAAAAAAATAAACGAAAGATTAACAAAATATTTTCATAACATCGGCTAATAATCAAGAAGGGCAAATTAATATTTTCCCAGTGACATCTCGATGATTTACTGGGATCCTAGTCCCCCAAAGATTTTTGGAGACGCCCTTTCTGAACTGGTATCCACATACAAAAAATCTGTGATTCACTCCAACGCAGTCAAGGTACGATGTCAAAATGTCATACCAGTCAGTATAAAACATCACCATAGTGACAGATACATACAACAACTGTTGATCACATGGTCCATAAAAAAACCACATTAAAATGACAGTTTCTATATATCTGTACTCATGAATCTTTCATGACAATATCTCAGCATGCATTAATATTTTTATTCTGACTTATATCGCTGTCTTTATGACGCGCTTATTAGCATGCATGAAGCCGGTGACGATGTGTACGCACCCCATTCATTAGGCAGAGATTTTTATGAATGAGTTATCAAAAGCTTCAACATATAATATGTAAGAGCTAAATCTGCCTAATTTAAGTCTTTCTTTAGGTCTGAAATGTTATCTAAATTATTTATTAGACATTTATTAACTTATCCAGACCATAATCAACTCTCGACGTCATCACTAGCCTACGATATTTACTGGATTATAATCCGAAATGCTGCTCAATGCTCATTCATGATTAAATCAAACCAGCAGCTGCCAGGCAGGTTACGCCCACATTTTGCAAGAGATGGATAGAGAATAAGCTAAAATCAAAAACGATTTTTTGTACTATCAGGGGCCAAAATCCAGAAAGATATGGTCTGAAATGCGCAAATATCAAAAGGAACTGAGATTTTTGGAATATAAAGATATCTTTTAATAAAGAGATCTTTTATCTTTGGATAAAAGTTGTGACCTCTAGAGGGTCCATAACCTTTGTATTACATACTTCTACACAGTTAGTGTACAAAGAGCGGCCATTTTGTTGGGCAGTTTCATTTTGATTTTCCCGAAATTCCAAATCAACCTTCATTATTGTTTAATGGTGATATATCTAAACGGTTTTTAAAATCGGGGAAAAAAAATTCGACCTCTAGAGAATCCATAAGCTAGGAAATCTCATTTGGATATGTGCGATTATCAAAAGGAATCAAGATCTTTATGATAAAAACTTATTTTTAAAGTATCATCCAAATTGGATCAAAACTGTGGCCTCTAGAGGGTCCACAACCTTGATATACCATATTTTTACACTATTTGCATACAAGGGACAGCCATTATGTCCGTCAATTTTTGTCCGATTTTCATGAAATTCGAACTCAACCATTATTAGTGTATAACTGTGATATATTCATACGTTTTTTTTTAAAATCGGATAAAAATTGTGACCTCTATAAGAACCACAAGCTCAAAAGGTGATTTTTTGTACAATCAAGGGCCATAATTCGGGAAGTTACGATCCGATATGCTTGAATATCGAAAGGCACCAAGATCATTGCGTTATAAACATGCATTTCAAGTTTCATCAAAATCGGATCAAAATTGTGACCTCTAGCACTGTCTAAGCACAATTTGCTCGCCATCGTTTCAAGTATTTATACTCTTCAAAAAAAGTAGGGGGATATTTAGAAACAATACAAAACTGCGGAAATGCACTGCTGTTTTTATTAGAGGTAACCAGTGTATGTTAATAACAGGCCAATTGCCTACATATGAACATAAACAGTTCATATGGGTGGCTTATCTGACGGCCCCATTTCACTCGCAAAGAGATACACCGTCAAAAGTGAAAATTGACGTTTTTGATTTTTGTCTTAATAATGAGTAATTGCTCCACCAATCCTCAGACATTCAGCAATTCGTCGTGGCATACCCCTAATCAACCATCCAATCACGATTTGGGGCAATCTGATCCAATCACGATTTGGGGAAATCTGAACCACTCCTCTTGCAGTGCCATGGTCAATTCTTGCAGTGTTGTCGGTTGACGTTGATGAACACGTCTCCCGATCAAATTAAACGTAACACACTAAAGCAAAGATAAGCTAAACAGTAAATCTTATGCAAGAACCGATAGGAAAGCAAACATGGATAGATAAACCAGCACATGTCAGTTTTCATCAACCCTTCCTTGAAGTGTCAAATTTGACAATGAACCCCTCCTACGTGTGAACATACTCTCAAAGCATGTCAAATGTCCATGACTATTTATCATATCGCAACCTGCATAGGTATTTGCATTTCAATATCCCCTACTTTTTTTTGAAGAGTATATATTGGGATCTCAGTGTCATATTAATATGAAAATGAAATGAAATGAAATGGGGTTTAACGTCCTACTGTTCTGCTCCTATACTGGGCTAATGAAGACAGGCATAAGCCATACAGTGTACTATGAGGGAAATTTTGCCCAGACAGCAGCACTATCGCCTACTCTTATATCGAATTCCAACTGCCAGGGGATCTTTTACGTGCATTCCAATATATACACGGGACATCGGTTTTTAGTCTCACCCGAAGGACTAGACAGCTGTCCTTGTCAGGCCCTCCGTTCTGCACCACTGACAAGGGGAAACCCATACGCGCAAACAAATTATTGAAATAAAAATGAGCAATGTGTCAAGTAGATGTAAAACCCCATTTCTCTTAATAAGTCACACTTTTCTAACTGGGATATATCAAGTTCATGTTTTGTGAAGCAGCGTTAACCAGAACGTCAAATCTCCACCTCAGTAACCTCTAGCAGGGAATGATCGTAAATTTTTCGACATATTTTAATGTGAGTAATAAATGTCAGTTAATATAGATCTTTATTACTCGTCTTGTCACTTGTTCATCTTGAATTCCCTATAAAAACTCCCAACATGTATTTAAAGGAGCCATAAAAAATCACTTACGGCCACTCAAACATACATCACGGAACCAAAACTAAAATAGATTGCCAAATCTAACTGGAGATAAACCATTACTTTGAACAGGTTTTTCGAGTTTTATTCGGTTTGCTGACGTCATGGCCAGGAGTTTTATTATCTCAAGTTAAAAAAAATACTTGGGAGTGTAAATCACATACAATATTTAATATGAGTGAAATTAATTCATTATTTTATTTCACTGCTTTTTGATGTCTGAATATTTTAAATAATTCTAGTTAAATTTATTCTATTTGATCCAAGCAAACAACGCAATTAAACTGTATCAAAAGGTCTGTCATTGAGTCAACTGGTGTGGTTTCAATTACCCGGTTGTATGTGACAATTAGTAGGGTCGCTCGTCCAACCTCATGGGTTTTCTCTGGGTCCTCCGGTTTCCTCCCACTGCTGAAGACCCCTATGCACATACGAATTATTGAAATAAAATTGAACCATATGTTAGTCCCGAAATGGCCTGGTTTGTGTTGAGTGGACGTTAAACCCCACCTATCTCCCTCTGTGTTCAACAAAAACTAGACAAAACAAACAATATATCCATTTAGTAAGTGTAGGAATAGTGTGACCATACATTGTTTTTGGTCGTGAATGAAGATTAATTTTGCACAACCCTAAGCCTAAAAGTTGTGGAGCCTGGTATCATTTGCACAACCCTAAGCCTATAAGTTGTGGAGCCTAGTACCATTTGCACAATCTTAAGCCCAGCAATTTAGATGTCTGTTATCAAATGATTTTTTAGTGTAAAGAGAGAGAGAGAAATGGGGTTTAATGTCCACTCGACACAAACTTGGTAATTTAGAGACTAACATATGTTTTAATTTTATTTCAATAATTTGCTTGTGCGTATGGGAGGAAACCGGAGGACCCGAAGAAAACCACGAGGTTGGACAGGCGACCCGACTCCTTGTCACATACAATAGGGGAATCCAAACCATGTTTAGTGTAAGATGTCTACTTACCATCACTTTTATGGAATGTATTAGGTGGATCTAACTCTACTGGTGAACTGTTATGCTGTAAATAAATAAATATTCAAAATAAATAAAAATTCTGTTTACAGATAATTATTATTATAAACAAATTATTATCCATATAATATCTAAACCATTTTATGGGCTTGCAAATATATGTCTTAAGAACATTTGAAGTCAGACAAAAGACCTCCAATAGGCAAATTTAACTCTTACATAAAACTATTTTCACGAAAGTGGCAATGTCTGTTTAAAATGATTTACGAAGCTTACATACCAGAAAGATTTGTGTTTTTAATTCTGAGACGATATTAAGCAGGCCATGTCTCGGCCAGGTTTTTAGCAATAATCTAATTCTGACAAGTTGCTTATCAAATATATTGGTTAAAAGCCATAAAAAGTTGTCATGAAGCTAATGCAGTAATTTAATCAATATGAAAATATCTATATAGAAGTTGACAAGATTATCAACAACCCTTTTACGAGGCTTAGCGAAAAAAATGGTAGGCTAATGCAATAATGGACTGTTTTTTATTCTATAAATACATGCAAATACAAGCAAATATCATTGAATACACAGCCATTGAATAACCTATGGCTGTATTCAATGGCTTGTACACATATTACTTTTGTCCAGAATGATGTCACTTTCAGAATTAAGTCAAACTGTATGACGTCAACACTAGCAACCATAATTTTTGTAGAAAAAAAAGAAAGAAAAAAGGGCTGAACCTATGATGAATTTTAACGTTATTGGTGATGATTTTCTTTTGTTGATAATCTAGATAGTATTAGTACAGTGTATTTTGAGATTTTCATGTAGTTATAGAATAAAAACAGAACTCAATGACCATTGAATACCGCTCGTGTTATTCAATGGTTCAAGAGAGTTTATCCCTGCAGCAGGGAGGGATACACTCTCTTGAACAATTGAATAACGGCTGCTGCAGGGATACACTCTCTTGAACAATACCCAAGCGGTATTCAATGGTCATTGAGTTCTATCTATATATACAAATGGTGTTTAACATCCTGCATCAACCGAGCTAATAAAATGAAATGGGGTTTAATGTCCTACTGTTCTGCTCTGACTGGGCTAGTGAAGATGGGCATAGGCCATATAGTGTGCTATGAGGGTAATTTTGCCCAGATAGTGGTGCTACGGCCTACTGTTATATATCAAATCCAACTGCCAACATGCACAACAATGTGTTCACGGGACTTCGGTTTTTCGTCCCGCCTATATGACTATAAGGAGGAATCTCACCGGAAAATTCTGTTGAACTTTCTCAGCCAAAGTAGGGATCAAACACAGGATGCTCCAGGTTAGCGAGCCAACGCCTTATTCACTGAGCCACCATGGTTCCCACCAGGCTGATGAAGACCACCATACAACATGTAGTCTGATATGAGTAAAAAGTTGTCAACTCTTTATCTAAGACTTACGGCTGGCCCCCCGGATCCATACACTGGATTAGATATTTCTTTGTCGCAATGTCTGTGCATTTTGTCCTTTCCACAGGTTTGTCTTATCGCGGAGGGGTAGGGTGGCTGAATGGTTAACACATGAGTTCACGTTGAATCATAAGATCTGTCTTTTGAGTCAAGTGGCGTGGTTTCAATTCCCCACTTGTACATGACAACGAGTTGGGTTGCCTGTCCAACCTTGTGGGTTTTCTCTGGGTTTCCTGCTACGCACATGCAAATTATTAAAATGAAATCAAACCATGTTAGTCGCGAAATGACCTGGTTTCTCTCTCTCTCTCCCTTTCTCTCCCTTTCTCTCTCTCCCCCTCTCTCTCTCCCCCCTCTCTCTCTCCCCCGCTCTCTCTCCCCGCTCTCTCTCTCCCCCTCTCTCTCTCCCCGCTCTCTCTCTCCCCGCTCTCTCTCTCCCCGCTCTCTCTCTCCCCCTCTCTCTCTCCCCGCTCTCTCTCTCCCCGCTCTCTCTCTCCCCCTCTCTCTCTCACCGCTCTCTCTCTCCCCCTATCTCTCTCTCTCTTTTTTTTTTGTTTTAGTGCAGTTCTTCTGTACTTACTATTTATCATTACACACAAAATGATTGACCAAAAACCCAATAAATGTTAAACCTTTCCACACTCAAGTGTCTTTTTGAAAAGATTTGGTAAATGTATGTACATATTAGCTGATGTAAATTCTGGCGGGAGAAATGTAATCAACGAGTCGTGTCTGGAATACCAATATATCAATAACACCCCAACGAATTATAACGTAACCAATAGAAAATCTTCAGACACTCATCTTAAGTCAACACCTTTCCGATACGTCGTTGATTTGAATGTAAACACCCTAGAAGAAACGGAAGACATGGACATTCCTCAGATTCCTTCATCGAGACCATCTCCACTTCATCAAATAACGTTTTATCATGGAAATTCATGACCATGTAGCCTTGGAGCTCCATCACACATTACGCCTCTTGATATATATTCCTCTTTGGTCTGACAGGATATTTTACATCAAATCAAATGAGATTTTTTTTTTATAGCATTTCTCCCCCTACTTGAAAGGAAATCTTTTTATATGAAACCCATGAAGTACTTTAACCTCGGTAAATGTTAGATTTATTTTGTCTAATGCTATAACTTAAGAAGCCTCATGAGATATATTAGATAGATAGATAGATTTTATTACATAAAACACCCATTTCGGGCAGCATGTAAATAATACATATTATTATGCATGAAAAAATACAGAAAAGGTAAATAAAAAAAAGCGTAAAAATGAATGGAAAACATATGCAATAAAAATGAGAGAGAAATGGGGTTTAACGTCCACTCGACACAAACTAGGTCATTTCGGGACTAACATAAGGTTTAATTTTATTTCAATAATTCGCTTTCGCATAGGGGTCTTTAGCAGTGGGAGGAAACCGGAGGGCCCGGAGAAAACCCATGAGGTTGGACAGGCGACCCTACTACTTGTCACAACCAGGGATTCGAAACCACGCCAGTTGACTCAATGACAGACCTTACGTTACAGTGCGAACGTGCTAACCGTTCAGCCATCCAACCCTCCCAAATGAAATGAAAGTAAAATGAAGTGGAGTTTGACGTCCTACTTTTCTGCACAAAACTGGGCTAATGACGACGGGCATACGCCATGCAGTGTGCTACCAGGAAAATTTTGCCCCGAACAGCGGCACTACGGCCTAGATCTTATTTAAGATTTCCAAATGTCAAGAGATCTTAATTCAAATTCCAACAGTCAAAAGTTCTTTTACATGAATGCCAAAATCTACAAAGGACCTCAGTTTTTCATCCTATCCCAAAGACTAGACACTGTTTCTTGCCAGACCCTTTATCCCCTGCACATCTTGCAAGTGGGGAACGACACCACACAATCAAGATATTTATGAAAGTTAAACATACATTATGCAAGAGCTAAATCTGCCAATTGCAGGTCTTTCTTTAGGCCTGAAATGTTATCTAAATTATTAATTAGACATTAATTAACTTATCCAGACCATAATCAGCTCTTGATGGCATCGCTAGTCTGCGATATTTACTGGATTGGAAACTGGTCTGCTACTTCTGATTAAATCAAAAAATGGATAATCGAGACTATGGTTTTTTTTTATCATACCGACTTTAGTAATGATCGTGGTTAAACTCAAAATTCAATCGCTAAATACTCAGTTCTGGGTAGATCAATTTGACTGAAATTTTTAGCAAATGCCCTTTTCATTATCTAGTTTTTAACTATTATAGTGAGAACTACCAGCTTTATCTAATCCCCCATAATGTATCTTTAAAGATACATTATGGGAGATTTTTATAGAGAGTTGGCCATTCTTGCTATAACAGTTCAAAAGTAGATGATGAAAGAAGAATATATTGAAAAATTCAGTCAAATTACTTTATTCTGAACATAGTTATCATCGTTGTAATATTTCACTAGAAATGGTAGCAAAATGCGTCTTCACCTTCGCTGATCGTTTGATTGACAGGCGTTAACTCCACCTACATATCTCGATTATCAAGTAAAGTTTTCAATGGCATACGGAAACGCTTTACAGCGGCCTCGCTAAGTACACTCTATCATTTAGCCTCGATCTAACTGACGTATTTTCATCAGGTTACCCCTTATTTGATTTAATCAATTAGTGAAATCCTATTTAAATCCGAGCTGTAGCCGAGCCATCCGTGGGTCTACAGAGTTGATTTTGGTCTTGTTGTTTAAATAAAGATCTAATTTATAATTTCTATAACATCTGAAGCCTAAATTAAGACTTGCAATAATCAGATTTAGCTCTTGCATAATGCATGTTTAATATATGTGTACACACATGAAATTGGAATTTTTAAACCTAATAAATCATCACAGATTGAGAGACCTTTAAACTCAACAGATGGTTGTTATAAACACAGCCTCATGTATATTTAATATAAACAATTTTAACTTTAAATGTTAATATCAAAATTGGCCAATTCAAATCAGTTTTACTATAATAGCAGGAACTAATATAAGAAGGGGTTTAACATCCACTTGACACAACAGGCCATTTTTTAAGGCCAAAGTGTGGGGGCATGATTGGTAGGTCAGGGTAGGTGTAGTGAGATCTTTTCTCTCAAAATAACTTGGAATGATCATTTAGAGAATCAAAATTTCAAAATTTTCGCAGAGTAGGACCTCCCGCAAGCCCGGTGGAGATACCCCCCCCCTCCTGAGATCCCCCCTCCCAAGACCACCACCCCTAATTTGCCCCTGCAGTTGCAAAACCTTAAAAAAGGCCTGACACAAACTAGGTCATTTTGGGACTAACATATTGTACGATTTTATTCCAAAAGTTCGGTTGGAAGACAATACCTACAGAAAGGTTAGACAGACGACCCTACTACTTGTCATGTATAAGTGTGGGATCGAAACAATGCCACGTTACTCAATGACAGACCTTTTGTTCTAAAGCCAATCTCCAACCTCGTGGGTTTTCTCTGGGACCTCTGGTTTCCTCCCTTTGCTAAAGACCTCTACGAGCAAGTGAATTATTGTAATAATACTGAACCATATGTTGGTCCCGAATTG